CACAATGTGAATACCTAACACTGCTAAATTAGATACTTAAAAATAGTTAAGACAAATTTTTTTAGGTTACATTTTTACCACAATTATATTAAAAAAAAGGTTATCGGAAGGGGGAACCAACACCACTGAACTCAACGTCTGAAGTCACCAGGGAGGTCCTCCAAGCCCCTAAAAAGCCAAGGCAGGGCAATGTCACAAAAGATAGCCAGATAGGGGGATGGCGAGGGTAAGCAGGCTGAAGGCTTATAGTTTTGCATATGGGCTCATAGTTCCTAGACAGTGATAGAGCTAAGATAACCACTCTGTTCTTCTGGTAAGCTAGTTCTCCAGATCTTGAGCTCTCTGAAGACAGGAATCATAGCTATTTGGGGTATTTCTGGGACACAGCAGGTACTGGATTATAAACACTCCAGGCGCAGAGACACACACTAAATCTTGCTGAGTCAGTGGGTGAACACGTAAATAAGAACGTGGGTGAGTGAGCAGCATGTTTTGGGAAGGTAAGAGAAGAGGGGGATATTGGTTGTTGGAGGTGCTAGCTTCTCACGACAGGCCTACAGAGTTCCAGAAGCGAGGGGACGGGTTACTGACCTCTCATTGTAGAACTGCAGGGTGTTCTCACTATACAGTGGCCCTGCCAGCTGGCGGATCATCTGCAGAGACTTCTCACGCTCATCCAGCCCCAGCATCCGCACGTGGGCCACAAGCCAAGCCACGGCACACACTGCCAGACTGCACACCTTCCCCTTGATATTATCTGTGATTTTCTGGGGGAGGGGAAAGGGTGACTGAGGCCACTATCTTCCCCTCCCTGACCATCACTTTCCCCAGCCTCTGTGGGCAGCTAAGTGCAGCAGGTGGAGTCCTGGACCACATCCCACACCTCTTTTCACCACAAATATGCTTTTTCCAAAGTTGCCTGGGTGGGAGGGAGTGGCTAAGCCTATAATTACAAGGAAGATCAACATCCAAACATGAGCTCCTGGATTAAGGGTCTTCGTGTTCTTATAAAATGTAACAAGCTATCAAAGACTGGCTCTGTGTCTCAGGTAGGAGAGAAGGCTGCTGGAAAGGTGGGGCTACCTGGATGGACTCGAAGGCCAGGACCCCGTTCTCCCAGGCATTGAGGATCTCCAAGATGGCTGCTGAGATGCTCAGGCAGGCTTCGTGCCACTTCATCTGCCTGCAAGAGGTGGGAGTGAGAGGAAAATCACCACGGGGGAGTGTGGGATGGGCTGAGGGAGAGGGTCTTGGCCTACCCCCGCCACCACCCTTGGACCGGGCACCCGGCCACTGACACCAGCTTCATCTCTGAAGAGTTGTTGAGCAAGGCCACCAAGGATTCCACTTTGGTGGAGTCGGGCCAGAAGCAGGGGTGGTCAGGGTTTAGGATCTTGCCCTCCTCAGGCATGCAAGTCTGCATCCATGTCTCAAAGAAGGGCACCTGTGCTCCTGAGCTTGACTCAGACAGAATTACCTGGGAAAGGAAGGGAGCATCAGCAGCCAGTGCCCCGCCCCTCCGTTTCCTACCCCACCGCTTCTACTTTCCAGCCTGAAGAACTAAAAAGATGAATTGGTCTGAGGGAGAAAGATGAGGGGGCTATGCTGCCACCTAGTGGTGGGTGTGGAGGTCGCACTGAAGGATTATGGATGTGACCAAGAGGGCATCCGTTGACCCACCAGGGGTGGGGGCACCAGAGTTCTGCAGCCAGCAGAACCAACTGGCTTAGGAGACCAGTGGGAGAGAGGGGCCCCTAGTTATTGGTCGTTTCCTTCCCCTTTTCCCTGCCCACTTGGTGCCCCTAATCCTGGCTGCTTTCCTCTCACTCACCTCTGAACCATAGGTCTGGGCCACGTGACACAACATGAGGAACGAGATGTCAAAGAGCAAGGCGCGCACTGAGGCTGCTTTGGCTATGAAGAATGAGAAGGCTGACCCCACTGCCTAGGGCAGGGCCCAAAGCCCTTGTCTGGGTTGGGAGGGGATCAGGATTTGCCTCAAGGAAGGTCAGTGATCAAGTGGCTTCTTCAAAGCTCTGAGGCTCAGAATCCTTTTCTTGAGTGTCGATTGGAACATCATCCCTTCCTTAGAATCAAAGACTCCTGATACCCTCCTTCTCCTCAGTACCCAACCAAATCATAAAGGGGGAGAGCAAGAGACAAACAGGTGGTTTGGGAAGAATCCTTTTCCCAGCATTCCCCTCTTTCAAGGCTCCCCAAAAGCTTCAGTCCGTCATTGTTCAGGGGAGAAAACAGCCTCCCCAGGATAAGCAATAGGCCCTCTGCCCTCCCTTATTCTCTGCCTCCACCACCCCTCCTGCAGTGCAGGGTCTGGAGGTGCACAGAGCTGACTTACCAAGTTCTTCATTGCCATGTGTCGTGAATTCATTCAAACTGTGGGAGGAATGGAGACAGGCTGCACCAAGCAGGGCAAAGAGTCAGGGGGCTACACCTGTCCCGAAAGGCAGTCACTAGAGTCTGAATTAGGGATTACACTTAAAATGAACATCACTACACAAAAAAGAACGCTTCCTATCTGTTTTTAAAAGATTTCCAAGGCGGGGCACCTGACTGGCTCAGTCAAAAGAGCATGCAACTGTTGTGAGTCAAGCCCCACATTGAGTGTAGAGATTACTTAAAAATAAAAATCTTAAAAAAAAAAAAAAAGATTTCCAAGACCCAGTTAATGGCTCACTGGACGGAGCCAAGTTCTACATATCAAATTCCAGGTCAACCAAAACAATCAACAGGGTTTGAGAACTCCTTCTTAATGATTGGGTGCACCTGAATCCCTCCACACCTGCCATTTTATGCCTCTCAGCTCATCAACATGCTCAGCTGCAGAGAAAAGAGCACTTCACATCCAGAGACCTGGGCCTTCCCCCATCGTCTCCCGTGGGGATGGCCTGCCTTGCCCTGGGCATCTCCAGGGAGACCCAGACTCCAGCGCCTTGCCCCTATTCCGCTACATCCTCCTTCAGACATGCCTCCCCAACCCTAGCCAGGGGCTCAGCCTTCCTCACTTGATGAATTTCCGGGCAAAGGATTTAAGCTTCCCAGTGGCAGCAGCAGCGGCCAGCAGCAGATCCAGACTCTTCCCAGACAGCATGTGGCCCAGAACTCCTAGCAGCCCCTCCGGGGACTTGGAGTGGTCTGCATCCATCGTCTGGGGATATGACAGGAAATCAAGTCCTGAACAATACTGAACACCCCCCAGATACAGCCTAACCACAGTCTCCCTCTCTGTATGTCTCCATTAAATGGGATACTACAACCTGAAATTCGATCTACATCTTTCTGACTCTGTTCTGGAAAACCATTCCCCAAATCCATCCTTGCTCTCTAATCCTTCCCTCTCAACTAAACTGGGATCATGGTGGTGGTGGTGTGATGGTGGTGATGGTGGAGGTGGGGTGGGTGAGGTCACTGCTATGAGATTCCCCATTGCTTCTGCAGGAGCAGGTGAAAGCATCTACCAAGGTGCCTGGCTTACAGGTAATGCTCAGGCTCAACAGAGGTTATTTTCGATGGCAGCTTCCCCGCCTTCCCCCTTTCTCTACCTCCAAAGTAACTACGTATAAAAGCCGGAAGACAAAGAAGTCTATGACCTCTGTTTATTTATCTGGAAGTAGAAGCAAAAGTGGAAAAAAGGAAGTCATGACCCTGGAGGCAAGGAAAGGGCACACTCACCTTGAGGATATTTGTGACAGTGGGCTCTGCCCGGAGGATCAGCCCAGGATTGGGCTGGATGTTGGCATTTTCTCCGGATTTCAGCTGGGGCGCGTGTTCCCGGTCTGCTGCCCTGCGGCAGTAAGCAGTTGGAGAAGGGAAAAGAAATAGAGGTAAGTTCCTGACTTACAGAAGCAAAGGCCCAGAGAAGGTGGGGAGCACAGGAGAACCTTTGTGGCCAGGGTGATCTTTATGAAAGCATATTTCACGACCATGATTGCTTCAACTTATCACTGATTGTTACTTCAATTTTGAAAGCTCACTTCATATTAAAGGAAGATTTAGGATTTTTACTTTGCTTGCAAAGGAGGGTGGGAGTTCAAGCGCAGCACCTAAGGGTGCAGAAACCAGCATCTGCTGTTCCTGGGATCCCTAGGCCTGGCCCCAGGCACCTGCAACCCGAACTCTAGACAGGAGCAAAAAGGCACCAGGAAGTCCGGACTGGACATGAGAGGAGGAGGGCAAGCGGCCCATGGGCCAGCCCAAGGGAGCGCACACTTACCGCTTGGCCATGAGGTTGGTCACGCTGGCTTCAGACAGAAGCCCCTGCTTGCTACATTCTTGGAGTAGGAATTTTGTACAGTCACAGCTGTGAGGGGAAAAGGTGATGACGGGGGAGCAGGGCAGGGGTTACTGAGGGGTGGGAACAATGGGCCCCTGCCTGCTGTCCTCCCTCCTTCAGGATGAAGGATGTTTGAGCGCCTGAGGGATGCTAGAGGGGCGCAGGCACTCGGCAGCTACAGGGCTGCCGCCTCCTGCCCAGGGGAGCAAACCAGGAGACAGTCTCCTGAGAGGAGCAGGGGGGAGAGCCCAGAACATGTTCCGGTGCAGTGGGGGTGAGCAGGGGAGCACGTACTTGCAGCGCTGGTCGGCTTTGTCCAGCAAGGGTGTGAGCTTCAGCAGGAACTCAAAAGCACAATTGACATCCTCGGTGAAGTCCTACAAAGACCCAGAAGGTGCCATCTGGCTTCTAGGTCCTCCACTACACCCACAGCCTGTGATGCAGACTTAAAAGGACACCCCACTGGATATAAACACCAAGTCGGCTGTACCCACCACATGCTTCCAGTGACATGACAGGAAGGAGTGTAGAGCACCATGGCCCTCCACCGGCCCCGGGACACCTTGGGCAACCCTGCCCCTGGTGCGGCCTGGCCGCCTCACGGAGGATGGGCGTGACGCTCAGGTGCCCACACACTTCCAGCCTTCCCCCAGGGGCCAGAACACACGGCTGGCCCTTCCCTTGCCCTTGTGTCTCCAGGGTGGAAACAAGGATTCACCAGCTCCCGTGCCCCTCCCCCATCTCATTTCTTCAACCAACCTTGTCCCCGTGACAGTATTTCTTCAACTTAACCAAAACCTGTGGAATCTAGAGGGTGAGACAAGAGGAAAAACAGGAAGATGAATTTCTTCTCTCACCCAGAAATAACGGCATCCCCTCCATCCCCCTGCCCTGAGTAGAGAGACAGGAACCCTCCCACCCTGGAAATAAAAGCACTCTTAGGGCCAAATGAGAAAGCTGAAAGGCATCCAAGTGCCCGGTGCCCCCCAGTCTACAGGACACAGGGACCCCTCACTTCTGCTGGTTCCACAAGGAAATGCCACAAGCAAAAGGGAACTCAATTCAAGGGCTGGGGCCACTTCCCTGGCTCCCATAACTGCCCTGCACCAATCTGGTTGATGACTGAGCTAAACAGCACCTGTGTGCTAAAAGATGGAGGGCGCCTGCCAAGTAGGCTAAATATAGCCCTGGGACTTTCAGAGAAAAGAATCGATGGGAACTTGCGCTGGGGGACCCGGCAGGCTGCAGACAATGCCAGCGGGGAGAAATGCGGGACAGAGATCCTGGGTGTCACTGCTTTTCCTGAGAACCATTTCTAGATTCGGCTCTCTGTTGCTCCCCTGTCCCAGGTACCTTGAGGAAGGTGAAAGCTGTCCACTTGAGCTCCTCTGTACCCTCAGGAGACTCGATAAGCCCCACGAAGCAAGCTTTCCAGATTTCCAGGACAAAAAGTGGGGTGGGGATATGCTGTGAGAAGACCCAAGAGAGAAGCCTAAAAGGGTGCCCATCCCCTTTCATATTCTGAAGGCCCCGGGGAGGCCAGGAGCTGATCAGGTAAGCTCAGAGACTGTGTACAAAGGGTGCTCCCCAACCCCAGTGTGAGACCAAGAGATGTCAGGCGAAATGGCACTGCCACGTATGACAGCCATCTGCTTTCCACCCCGATCAGAGGAAACCCAGTTCTCCCAAAAAGTACCAGAAGAATCCTCCCCACTGCCCCCAAGTGGCCAGCCCAACATGTTGGCAGAGAAACAACTCTGGAACCCCAACCTGCATGCGCTTCACCATCATAAGCTGTTCCACCAGGGGCTGCGTCTCGCCTGTCAGGTTCATGGTGCCCTCGAGCAGGACCACCGCATGGACTGTGGGGTAACCAGTCTTGTGCAGCTGCTCAGAGTGCACAGCCAGCATTGTGGGAATGCTGAAGGGAACGGATACATAGGAGACAGAAAGAGTTGGGAGGGCAGGTGAGCAGAAGGGTGGGGGCCAGGGGTCACATCTCCCTACCCACACCCAGGGCCTTTCCTCGCTCCTTCCACTACAGTCAGCCTGGGAGCCTGGTACCTCCTAATGAGTGTGCCACACTGCTCAGCCTGGCTCCGGAGCTGGGGGTTGCTGAGACTGGCCAGGATTTCACCAAGCTTCAAGAGAGAATGCTCAATGGCAGTCCAGGAGGCTGGCAGAGAAAAGGAAATGCAGACACACAATGGGAAAAGAAGAGAGGAAGACAATGGCCCTGAGCTCCTCGACTTTGGCCCCCCTGGGACCTCAAAACCACGCACAGAGGCTTCCCCTGAGGATGACATGGAGGCCAGGGGCCTGAGGGCAGCATGCACTGTTTCTAGAAGGGGAGTGAGCACCAACACCGAAGTCCCTAGAAACTATTCCCAGAGGCCTGCCTTCTAGGGGATGCACGTGGCTGACTTTAGAGCCTAGGTACAGTTCAACACAGACAGTGGCAAAGAGAGGCACAGGGGGGTTGGAGTCCAGTGGCTGGAACAGGGAGGTGGCCACAAATTGCATCAGGAGTGGCCAGCCTTGCAAGTGGCCATCACTCTCTACCCCAGTCGAGCTAGATTCCTAACCAGGCTTCTGGGTTCACCCACACCCTGTCGAGGCCTTTGCTCTCACGGCTCTCCCCCTCTGTGGTGCCCCAACTCATTGCCACCTCTCAAACCACTCTCCTCAAGCTTTTGTTCATGTCTGGATCCTTTGACAACACACCCAACTGGTCCAACCCGCTAACCTCTCCGCCTAAATGCTTGAACTCATGGTCTCTGCTACATTATTTAGCACTTAATTATGAGTCACTTATCCTAGTTACAACTCCAGAGGGTTAAATGATGATGAATACTGGCACCAACTAGCCCGTTAACCTCCATGTGGCATGGGAAAAAGAAACAAAAAAATAAGACCTGAGATCCATTAAAATTAAGTTAAATATTCATTCACTTTTCAGCCACTAAACATTGGTCAAGTGTTCAAGATAGGTAAGATACTGTCAACAAGGCCCATTTTTATAGACGGGCCATCTTTCTGGACTTCTCACAGGCAATAAAACATACTTTGAAAAGTTAACAAATATACTAATCCTATAACAAGTTCTCCAAACATGTCCTGAAGACCTGGATGTAACCCATTCTAGCATTGTTGTTACTGGAGAACAAGAGATCCTTAGGTGGTCTCAAGCCACAAGACTGTGGTCTTTGGGCAACATGTCCAGAAAACCAGTACTTCCCTCCCACCGGGTGATCTATCTCCTTCAGGCTCTGGAGGGTTCCAAGAGTTAACATCTGCACTTGAGTCAAGCGGTGTAGGATACAACAGGCCTGATAGCAGACAGGTACCATGTTCAAAGGGACATGTTAGGCAACACTCAGAAACAAGAGTCATTTACTTTCAGGAGATGAGTAGCGCAGAGACAAACACAAGGATGGATGGTGTACTTCCCTTGTCTCTAACTTCATCCATGTTTATCACATACTAATCTTGCTCCCCACTAGCATGTATGCTTGTTGAGGGCAGGGACCCTGCCACATGCTCCTTTGGTAGCCCCCCACCCCCCATCCCCAGCACCTGGCACAGTGCTGGGCATACAATAATGCTCAGTAAATACCTGTTGGTTGATTGGCTCGGGTGCCACCCTGCCCAAGTCCCTGGGATGTATGCAATGCTTATGGGGAGAAAAAAAAGGAAGTGGGATGATTTCAGATCCTCCTGGAAAGAAGTGGGATGGCATCCTGCCTCTCCCCTTTCAATTAAAGAACCAGCTATGGGAACAGTGGAAGGTGGGGCTCAGGGGAACCAGGGGACATACAGGCCTCCTCTAGTTTGGCGATGTGGAGCAGGGCCCGGTTCTTGGTGCTGCTGAGGGTCTTCTCCAGGCGCTGCAGGCACATGGCAAGCTGCTTCTCGCCAGCCGCTGGAGTGCCGGCCTCCAGCCCCTCCCGGAGCCGCTCTGCAGAGGCTGCAGTGCAGCGCAGCAGCCAGTGGAGGGCGCTGAGAAGGGACCGGCACAGCCCGATGCACTCCTCTGCTTTGCCATGACAGCTACCGGGAAAGGATGCAAAATCTGTCTTGGCTCCAAAGGCTGAAATATGACCCACACCAATCTTCCCCAGAGTGGCTGGCACGCCCCTATGAGGGAAGAGAGCTGGGAAGCTAGCAAAGTCCTAGGGAAGACAGCCCCAACTTCCACTGGACAAGATTTCAAATGAGCTACTCCAAAGAGAAGAGGTCTTTTATCCCAAGGGACTAAGTAGAAAAGGATGGGGGTGGGTGCGTGCAGAAGAGCAGAGGGGAAAGAAGTGTGGGAACCCACAGAGTTGGCCTCAGTCTACATGCTTGGAGCTTCTCCTTTACGCTAGGATAATACCGGAAGTTAACAAGCCCTGCCATTACCTCAGTCGGTCACAAAACATGTCCATGATATCCAGCAAAGCCTGGACACACAAGTCCCGGGAAAAGTCATCAAACTGCAGAAAGAACAGTTAATGATACTACAAACATCCCAGTTGACCTCTGGTCTCACACATGAGGCAGACGGCATATTCAGAATTCCTACTCATCTTCCCTCCAACCTCAGGTTTCAGACTCGGCATTCTTTCAACATTGGAAGTTGGCTCCTAATTGCCAGCCTCCCACTTCCCAGGATCTCCCTCCCTCCAGTGGAACACAGCAATGCCATCCAGAGGCATCACGTGCTGTCTCTCCAGTCTCAGAGTGTACGTGACCGCGCAGGCGAACAGAGGGGGTCCCATCTGTCACTATCATCTCTCTGCTCCCATGCCCTCCACCTAGCTCATAAATGGCTATGGTCATACCTTACTGATTGCTGTGAGGACAGAGGAGTAGGACACCATCTGGATGGAAAGAAGAAAGATAAAGTTCAGACAACTAGCGTCACAGCTGACAGGATCAAACACGGACACTTCAAATTTCTGCAGCTCAAAAAGTTCAACCCCTTCAACAGGCCTTCCTCAACCCACGAAAAGAGAGGCAGGAAAACTAGACATTGTCCCCATCCCTGCTTCTATCAAAATCACCATAAATGACACCATGAGCATACACCCACTAAGATCAGGGTGGGCATTCAAAAATGCCGTGTTTCATGTTCACATGCCACTCATTGTCCACTATATACAAGGTTAAAATAATTGCTAGTAGGCAGAAGGAAGGATAGGAATGAGGTTATGTTACTTTACTCCTACAACTTCTATAGAGTAGGAGAGGCTCTGTCAGCACAGACCCTGGTGCAGGGTTCAAACCCACAAACTGTGAGATCATGACCTGAGCCAAAGTCGGACGCTTAACCAACTGAGCCATCCAGGTGCCCTCAGAGTACTTTTATTTACAACAACTGGAGATGAAGAAACATTTCCTGCAATGAACAGGTAATACCTGCACACTGAAATTGTAGTGAATTTCATGATACACACTCTGATTCCCTAGGATTTACTCTCTAGGACTCCTCCAGGACACCTTCTCTGATTGACCCCAACCTCCTTCCCATGTGCTCCAAGTAATTAATCCCCTTATACCCATCATTACACAGCAGGTACCTGTTGCCCCCACCAAACTAGGAGCTCCTTGAGGACAAGGATGCTTTTACTCAGTGACCACCATGAACTTGCTATGATGTTGGTAGAATGAATAAGTAAAAACACACCTTTAGATCAGCATTTCTCAAAGTAGCTTCCAAAGTTGCACTATCCAATAGGGAAGCCACTAGCCACAAGTGGCTGTTTAAGTTTAAATTAAGTAAAATTAAATATTCAGTTCCTTAGTCAGACTAGTCACATTTCAAGTGCCCAACAGCCACATGTGGCTAGTGGCTACCGTTTTAGCACAGATACACAGCATTTCTGTTACTGTAGAAATATTTATTGCATGATGTTCTTCCAAAGATTCCCCAAGATGTTAAGAAACTTTACACACACACACAGCTTTTGTGTGATATGAATTTAAGAAACCACGGACTAAATAGCTTTCTTTGCTTAGCTTTGCTGAGTCATAATATGCTTGTATATAATGAGAACCTCTAAGATAAATGGAAACAGTAAATAATACTTTCCAAGCTTATTTGACTAAGAGAAAGCCTATCTGAACAGTGAGCTGAGAACAGAAACAGTGGTGAATTTATATCTGTTTCTCTAGAATGTAGCCCAGGCTTAGCACATAGTAGGTCCTCAGTAAGCTTTTATTACTTTGGATTGGTGAATTCTAGGAACTAGCATTCTGAAAAAAAAAATGTATTTAAAATAAATCTCTATTAGTAAAACCTATCCATAGGATTGGAGATGTAGTTGAAAAGAAATAACCAATGTGTCCTGCATGAAATTAAAACCTAGAGAAAGTCTATTAAGTTGTCATATTTAAAAAAAAAAATTTATTGCATGCTGATAAAATATAAATAATACTTTAGAAAGTAGTTACAAGTATATACTCAAAATCAGTGGCAAAATACACTGTAATAAAAAAGATTACAATGATAGCAACTGTCAGGATAATCACCTGCTTCGTGGGTTGTCTTCCCAAGAGGAATAGAAATTTCCAGAGATTCAAGAGGAAAGTGAAGTCAGCCTCAATGACCTTAATATGGTGAATTTTACATGCATGGCAATGCCTTCTGTGTATAATTTCTCCATCATGTGAACAGAGTGCTCTCTGTTCAGACACATTTAACTAGTATTCTTAAATAAACAAGAGCAAAATACACAGAGGACTTAAATACACAATTAGTGTTTAGTACAACTCTCAGCAAGATGTTCTGTGAAGCCATAGCTGGTGTCTGATGGTGATCAGAAAGTTGGGAGCCTGCCTGGGCAGAATGACCATAACGTTCCAGACGAGTATTTGTTTATTTATAACTGATGTCCCCATAGCAAGAGCTTGGCAGAGAAATGAACCTTGTTGGATACCAACCTGAAGAGGGAGCTGGATGTTCCCACTGAAACTAACCCCAAACTCCCGGAAGAGAAACCCCCAATTTTCTATATTCTGAGAGATGCAGTATGTTCTAATGTATTTATGGTCTCCAAATTCAGAATTCTGTCCAGTAAATTTTAGCTAACAATATCGAGAAAGCACTGCTACCCTTGAGACCTAAAACTACTTTCCACACGGCGAACTGTTTTTCACAGCAGGATTTAACCTATTCCAGTCTACTGTGTCTATCAGTGTAGAAGCTCTAAGCTACCACCAGACTCTGAGGCTGGAGACCGTCTATGTGTCCGCTGCACACCTGGCTAGCCCAGACTGACCCTGCGGCTGCTCTCTCCTCTCCTCTTCATATTCAACACCCTCAGCTACTCCTAAGTGCCCTCTCCATGCACAGCACTGAACTGAAGAGCCTCTGAACTTGGAAGGAAGAATCAATTACTAATTTTGCACAGCACTTTACAATGCTGATTGTAGTGAAACTCCTGCATATATATTTATTTCTCTCTCACTGTTACTTTGGCCTTGTTCTCCTTCTTGCCTTCCCCATCAGTGTTTACATGTCTCAAGATTCTGCCATTTTTAAGAGAAGTTCCCGCAGACCACTCCCCCCATTTCCAATTAATCACCACTCTCTCTATCCTGCTCTCCACAGATGGGAGTTCTCCACACTCGCTGTCTCTATCTCCCCACCTTCCGTTCACAATTCCACCCACTCCAATCACTTATGTCCTTACCACTGTAGGAATCTCCTCATTGAGCTCATCAACAAACTGGTTAAACCCCATGGATACTTCTCAGTTCCAATCTCACAGACCTCTCAGCAGCACCCAACACCAGGAAACACTTCTTCACTCTTTGATCCTCTTCTCTCTTGGCTTCTCTTGATACCACGCTCTCTTGCTTTTCTTCCCTCTTCACTGATCTCTTCTTTTCAGACTCCTGTGAAGCATCTTTTTCCTAGCCATGTTCTCTACCTGTGATTGGTTCCTCAGGGATTTGGCTTGGGTCTCTCTTGTACTTACTCTCCACCCTCTCTAGGCACTCCTGTCAATGCCCACAGCTTCCATCACCATCTACAGTCGACAACTCCAAAATCAACAGTGCCAGTCTAGGCCTCTTCTTCTAAGTTCTGGACACATATGTTGAAGGACCTACTGAATATCTTCTCTTTGTTAGCCCACACAGGCACCTTACTTAACAAGGCCAAAATCAGTGTCATCTCCACCCCTCAGCGGTACCCCAACCTTAATAGCAGCCCTACTCTTTTCCCACTGTCTCCTTAAGATCCCATCAGTCATTGAGTCGTCCAAACCAGAAACCTAGACACTAGCCATGATTTCTTCCTCTCTCTCATGTGCCTCATCCAGGTAATCACCAAGTCCTCTCAATGCCACCTCCTGAACAGTTCTTGAATTCATCTTTTTTTCTGCTGCTACTTCCCATGTTTATGCTAATATCATCTCTTACCTGAATTTACTGCAATAAGGGTTAATCAGGGGTTGGAAAACTATGACTCGCAAGCCAAATTGGGCCCATTATCTTTTTTTTTTAAAACAAAGTTTCATCAAAGCACAGGCATATCCATTTACTTATATACCATCTATATATGCTTTCAAGCTATAATGACAGAATAATGGTGACAGAGACCACATGGCCTGCAAAGTATTACTATTTGGTCCTTGGGCAAAAAAAAAAAAAAAAAAAAAA